GAGCGCGGACAAAGCTCTGCCCGCCCCAGGGGGCTCGGATGAGCTCCGTTCCCGAGACAGCCTGCGCTTCCGCGCGGGCGCCCGGAGCCTCGGGGGGAGTCGTTGCTGGGTCGCGGTAGTAACAGGCTCCACCACCCCTGCCCTGTCCGCTTAAGGCTGCGTCTCCTCCTCTGCGCCGGCTGTGCGGGCTCCGAGGCCCCCGGTTTGCGCGCGGGGAAGGGAAGCCGCAGCGGCAGCGAGCAGCGAGGAGCAGAGTTCGGATCAAACCCGACCCGCAGCCGGCAGCCCGCACCTGCTCGGGACGCGGCTCGGCCTCCCGGCTCGCTCTGCTCTCCGGGGCTCGGCGCTGGCCCCGCGTTATTTATTCCGCAGCACAGCGGAACCGCGACCCGCACCTGTGACCAGGACGCAGGTTTCACCCCGCGAAGATCAGGAAGAACCTGGGTCCCCTGGGCTGCGTGGGGCTGCGCCTTTCGGTTTCCATTCAGGTGGGCTGGGCCCTTGGCCCTGGTCCGAGTCCTCCTGAATGTTTTTCCTGTGGCATCTGGGCACTGTCTCCTTTTCTCTCTACCAGGAATAAATAGATCAGCTTGCACCCACACAGAGAAAAGGTAGTTTACAGACGTTAGTGAAAGTCGTGGTCAGGAAACTTCCACGGTATTAACCTGTCTGACCTGTACGCATACATTTAAAATCTGGTTAAAGGGCCTGGGGTGTAGCTCAGTGGCTCAGCACCCATGTGGTAAGACTGAGGTCCTGAGTTCGATTCCCGGTACCTCCCCCCAAAAAAAATCTGGTTTAAAAGGCGATTTCAGTAGCCTGTGTTCCTCTGCAAGTCCCTACGTGACCTACAACTGATTCCCCAGTTAAACTGCAAGCATTCAAGGTGTTTGGAGTTGTTTCTGTTGATCTTTGTTGGAATTGTACACTCGGCTCTGTGGGAAAGAAGACCAAGGACCCTGCTGAGGGAGGGTGGGGGCTGGATTCTGGAGGGATGCCTGGAAGATCCCCAAAACTCACATTTCTCTTTCAAGAGTTACTTCTTCTGCAAGACTTTATGTGGGATCTATGGCCATTTTAATACAGAAGTAATATTTTAAGTTGTTTGCTGCAGAATTGGTTGTTCAGAAAACTCAAATAACAGAAACTTTAGTTTAGTATAGTTTCCCCTTTTGTTTGTTTGTTGTGTTTGGTACAGGGAATCAAACCCAGGACCTCAGGCTTGCCAGGCAGGTACTGTGCCTGCTGAGCTAAATCCCCAGCTCCTGGTTTCTCCTTTTAGAAATGCTTAGTATTTCTCAATTGTAAGTCACCTGGGGTGAATTAGAAACATAAAAGGAAAGGACTGGAAAATCCTTCTCTTCTTTTTCTTTTTTTTTTTTTTTTTTTGAGACAGGTCTTGGTTGCCCAAACTGGCCTCAGACTTGCGGTCTTCCTCCCTTAGCTTCCCAAGGAGGGAGATTATGGGCGGGGGCTGCACCCCACTATGAATCCTTATTTTTGACCAATGTCTCAGGTGAATGTATGATCAAGCAAGCTGGGGCACTCATCCTAAGCCAGATCTTTACTGAGCTCAAGGTGACTGGTGCCCTTTTATTTCTTTTTTCAACAAAAAAAGCGTGAACTTCACCTGTTCCCATCACTTTATTACTCTGTAACATTTGCTTCTGTAGAAGGAGAGAATCCTGAGCTTTAGATTGGTCCTGATTCTGCAAATGTATTTGAGTCCCTGCTAGCAAGACTCGCACATGGCCCAGCACAAATCCAGTTCTCCAGAGCTCTATTGCTATTGGCTTCACTTGGCGTAGGAAATATAATGGAAATGCTCTAATCTGGGTCTGTGTTTCTTGGGTTCTGGTAGTGTGACAGTGCAGTCGTGGTATTGTTCTGTTTACAGCCAGGGTGCCTATGGCTGTGTCAGAAATATTTGTCCTTGATGAACTTAAAAACCAACTCAGTCACAACTGGGAACGCTAGTTTCTCAGCTGCAGCATGTAAGGACAGTGCCTACCGAAGGATTTAAAAATATTAACTCTCCTGACAAGTTTAAAGCAGAGTTTCCTTGATCAAGAAGCTCAACTTTATTACAAGTGCCAACCATTCCTCTCTCTTTATCCTAAAATCTTGATTTCTGTTTTATCCCGATTTCCCAATGGTGAGGGAGAAATAGACAAAGTCAGGAAGAAACGAGCTGTAGCAGTACATCCTCGGTCTGTTCCTTCCAGCCTCACCACCCAGTCTAGTGAAGTGTAGCGCATGAGTAGGAAGTGGAACTGCTAATGTCTTCTTGAACAGTGAAACTGGGACTGACCAGGGAGGGCCGCAGTGTTAAGGGCTGTGCCTGGCACATCCGCAGGGGCTCTGGAGATTCGTGCTATGATTTTTCCCTAGCTTTGTCAGTTACTAAGAACTGGTTAGGTGACATTTTCTTAAGAGAAAGTTCTCAATAGAAAGTGTATCCTGTATCCCTTCTTTAAGGACCATGCCACTAATTTCTGATTCTGATTTCATTAAATGTACACCTCTGTAGCCCGGGAGAAGCCACTGTTAAATGTCTAAAAACAACTTCTGAAGACAGAGCATGGTATTTTTTTTTTCTTTCTGTGGGAAACTATCACAGTACACTGATCTCATTGCTCTTGTTAGCATGACTGATAAGTGTATTATGGTTCTCTTTGGGAGCGTGATTGTAGAGAAAGGATCCCTTATAATTGTTGTCATACATCTTATTTACTAAAAGGATGCTAGAACCTGGGATATTTGCAGGAAGGCAGTGGTAGAATGTCTTTGTGTCTTTATAATATCTTGCTGCCTTCCCTACGTCCAGTTCAATCATTGTCCTACTTCTCAGAAAGGTGAACAATAATTGATAAAATTAAGCCTATGAAAGAATGTGATCCATAAATGTACATAAGACATGTTGCAGCTGGTTTTGTTTTATTTTAAACTTTTTCTTTGGCCAGGGAGATAGCTCAGTGGCACAACACCTACCTACCTGGCAAGTGCAAGGTCCTGAGTTCAATTCCCAGTACCAAAAAAAAAAAGAAGTTTAAACTTTTTCTTTTACATTAACCTCCCTTAGCTGGTGCACACTTGTAATCCAGCACCTGGGAGGCTGAAGCAGGAGGATCACTGCTAGTTTGAGGCCAGCCTGAGCTACATACCGAGTTCAAGGCCAGCTGAACTACAGTCAGACCCCGTCTCAAAAAATAAAAAACAAACAAACAAAAAATAGCCTCACTTAGTTTTGTAGTCAATAAGGGTGGGATCTCCAGTATGAAAACGGTCTTTCTTTTGAGAAATATTCTTGAGGCTTTTTCTCTGGGACTTCACAAAGAGTTCACATCACCCAGGTATAGTTCCAGGACTCAGTTTAATCAGTGCAAAGTAAAACTTTCTAGCATTCACAGTGCTCCCAGGCCACAAGTCTGCTCCCAGGATAGAAAGTGCTTTTGGCTGAGCTGTGGATGGGGAAGCCAAGCAGACGTGAGGAGGAATCACAGCCAGAAACTGTTGGATGAAGTCTCTGAGCTGACCCCATACCCACACCCCATGATCATCTCCATCTTGTCCTGAAGTTCAATGCCAAGGTCACGTATGTAAATAGCAAATTATCTGTTGAACATAGACAATCATATTTCTACTGCTTTAACACACATTTACTATATATCTAAATGCAGTAGGGTAGAAAAATAAACGCTTTGGGGAGAAAATTAAACTAATGCTATATCTGTTTCAGTGAATATATTCTTGGTAGTGACAACACCAAAACTACTTACTCTCTTTGGTTTAATTGTTTATAATGGGTCTTGCTAAGTGGCTGGCCTTGGAACTTGCCTCAGCCTCAGCCTCCTGAGTACCTGCAATTACAGCTGTGCACCACCATGTTCAACGTTATTTGGCTGAAGTTTAAAAGCACAAAAGAAATAAGCCAGAGACTAAAATGGGATTTTATGGTTAAAAAAAAAAGAAATTTATTCTGGGCCCTCTGTTGGCCAGTATTACAGATTATCTATCTACATTGTTATACTGCTAATTGATAGGCACCATGCCCTGAAAAATTCAGAGATACCTCTTGAGTCACCAAAAATATATCATCCTCCCTGAAACATATTTTATTTTTAGCAAGTGAATAACCCGTATTATTCTAACATAGCAGTTCCATGTGAATAAGAATCTATATGCAGACACACTCATTCCCTGCCATTCACAGACTCCTTACATGCGGGGAAGGCACTAGGGGAGGGCTTTGCTATGGTCCAGCTGTGAGGCAGACCGGGGTTCAAGTCCCAGCACTGTTCCTCCCCAGGCCCCTTCTGGCCAAGTGGCTGTAGGTCAGTTTTTCCCTCGCCCTCCAGGTCTCTCAGGAGTAAAACAGCACACATCTGTCGGAGATGGGGGAGCGCTATGGCGCCTGCTGCCCCCCAGTAAGTGCTCCACAGACACGGGCTACATTTGCAGGTGATTTTGTGTCTCCAAAGCCTCTGCTCCTTGCTCTGCCGTGGGATCCTCCTAAAGAAAGTAAGGAATCAATGGAGTCAGTCGGAGAAGCAAGCTCAACCTTTTCAACCAATAAAATCTGGATTTAGCAAACTGGCCTAGTGACCCAAGATGATGCTGTGTTGTGTATTTGAAAAAATACTCAGGGTGCTAACATTTGTCTCGGAATCCATAATCTTGCCTGATGAAGCCCTTACCTTCATTTCCCATCAGGAAATCCCATTCAGCAGTCACCAGTTGGGGGAAGGCTGTGCTGCCCTTGAATTCTAGAACTGATTTAATCTGGTCATGTTGTGCATCTTTTATTTTTATTTTTGCTTTAGTTTAGTAGTACATGTGTGCAGTACAAATGTTCACATTCCTTGTGGGAAGGCGGTCCAGGTACATAACACATCTCAATTACTTTCATCGTTCCCTTTCCCTTCCCTTCCCCTCTGCCCATCTCTTGATCCCCTTCTGGTCCCCTTCCCTTTTTTAGGGGATCATGTTTGCAGTACATAATGTTTCCCTTCCTTGTGTGGCGTCGCTGTGTGTACGTAACACGTCCCAATTCCATTTCTATTCCTCCCCTCCTCATCTCTTACACCCCTTTCTCTTGTAGAACAACCTACCTGCCTACTTCCTATTACCTTATCTTTTATTTTGCTCTTTATTTTTACTCTGGGCTTCACATATTAAAAAAACTATGTGACATTTAAGCTTGTGTGTCTGTCTTATTTCATTTCAACCTCGTGCGTCTTTTAGGTGGCATTTTCCCATACTGTGCCGGACTCAGTTTCTGCCTGGAGACCTGTGTTATGGGCACAGTTTATGTGTAATTTATGTACATATCATTTGAGTCTGTGTCGCTAGAACTGTGACTGTCACTCTCTTCTCTGATTCCTTTTCTTTGGCTGTCTCTTTCTATTGTGTGTTTCTAAATCAGATATCCTGAACTCGGGGTCAGCAGGCTACTTTCGGCCACTGACAGGCTTCCTTTGGCCCATGAGCTCTCTTTGAAACAGTTTGAACCAGATGCCAGCACTTAAAAATCCTTCAAGTTGAGATCCTCAGCTTTTCTTGAAAAAAATCTGAAAAGTTGGCCACACTGGGCCTGCAGTCCCATCAGCTGGGACTGAGTGCAGCTGCCCTTGTTACGGGGGTGGTCACCATCAACCCAAGGTCTAGATCTTTG